CTCCTGCCATGGGTGAAGAGACTGGTGTGCAAGGACAGCACTGCACACTTGCCAGCCTGCCCTACTCTTCCTCCACGAGCACACACGCACAGAGAGCGGAGCTCAGCTGCCCTCGGAGGAGGAGGGCAGCCGGGACACACACGCAGAAGGGGTGAGCTGTCACTTCCTGGCTGCAGGAAGAGCCTCGCCTTCTGCAGCTGCTGCCTCCCTGTGGTGGGCACAGATGGCAGAGCTTTGTGTGTGACACAGCCTTCAGTGCCACCCCCGAGGCTCGAGTCGGTTTTCCCCACCCTGAACCTGGCTTCTTGTGACTCCAACTGTAGGAAGGGCAGCAGTGGAATTACCTTGGGAAGCGGCTCCATGCTTAGGGTGAGAGTTGGGGTTGGCGCACACGTGATTCACAGGAACCCCCCTTCTCACAGAGGAGACCGGCGTCCCCATTTCCCATGTAATGGGGCCCCGCAGAGTCCAGGCGCCTTCCCCGCCCCTGTCGTGCTCCAGCCTTTCGAGTGGAAACCGATGTCTCAGGCCTAACCTAAGGACATGCAGCAAAACTCAACCAACTGCAGCCCATCTACCCCGAGCCTGCATTTATAAAAATAGTCAATGTCAGAGTGAAAATATCTTTCTATCTGCAGTGAGGGTGAGTTCGGTTAATTACAGCTGATTCCAGCCTCCCCCCTTTGCAGGGGAGGTTTCTCCTTGTATGCCGTGGCTGGAGCAGAACATAGACGCAGAAGAGGAGGAACACATGCTGCGCTTCACAACAGAAAAGAAGCAGCAGAAGCAGTGAGGTTGCTTTTAGCAGGGAGGTGCACTGGTGCTTTGGATCATGAACTCAGTTCTCGCTGTGACGCTGGGCCACACCAAATTGGAGGAGCACGGAATCGAATTTCCCCATAAGGTCAACATTGAACCTGACCATTGAATTTGATTTGGCTCTTGTCCAATTCAATTTGCAATCAAAATCATGGGAAGAGTTAAGTTCGCAAACCGAGGTACTACTGCGCTTAAAGCTTGCTTCATAGCTAGGAAAAACACCAGCTAACTTAATGTAGCTGGCTGGGTTTTCTGCAGGAACAATGAATATCAGTCTTAAAGTCTCCTGGGCTCCCAGGCTGGCCTCCCTGTACCTGCCCACCCTGCCCCAGCCTGCCGTGGCTTCTAACCTGAGATGCTCAGTCTTGGACCGAGGTAATTAAAAAGCCAGCCTTCAGCTCCAGGAAAATACTGTGTGATAGCCCATTCGGTGAGGATAGCAGACACGCCGTGAAGCCCAACTCACCAGCCTCTCCCGGTCCGTTACTAACTTTGACATCAGCATGAAAATCAAGGCCCATTTCCTGGGGGCCCGGCTGCTCTAGCTGTCCCCTCTCACCCGAAGACTTCCTCTTCTGTGGTGACAGGGTGATCTGTCCTCCACAGGCAATTGGGAAGTCACAGAGAAACGGTTATCACTTCAGGTGGGAAAACATCCAGCCATCCTGACGCCTGCTGCAGACCTGCGCGGTGATCTCACTGTCGTTTGTCCTTCGAACGACTTCACATGAGAGAATGGCTGTGAGGCGAGGGCAGTGAAAGCTCTCATTCGAGGCCGGGCCCGACGACCAGTGCAGCACCCCAAACCCTTTCTGCACATTTCTGCCCCACCCCACTCCCATGGATGTCCACAAAAAGCACCCCATGCTCAGCCCCCAGGAGACCCACATGTGGGTCCTCCGCACCCCTGCTGTCACTGATCCAACAGATAAAGCAGGGAATAGGCAGGTAATGCGGAGAAAGAATCTTACTGCACTGCCGTCAGACCTGTGTGTGAGAGGGGGCGATGGGAACACACATAGGACCTCAGGTCTTTGGTTTTCGTCTTCGTTTCTCTTCAGTGGGGCGGGGAGTGTGTGTGGTTTGTTTTACAAGCATTGAACCACAAAGTACACACCACTCTGCAACCTGCTGTTCCATCTGACAACGTGTGACACACTTGGGTCACAGGAACGCATTTTTTTATTTTAAAGAGAACTTTAAAAAAATAACAGCATGGACCAAAAGAAAACAAAGCAAAAACAATAAAAATGATACAGGATTTAAAAACAAGATGATAGGAATTAACAGTGGTTGTTGTATCACATATTGTTATCTTCAGTGCAGTTGCTCAGTTTACCAGATATAAGAATTCAAGATGGATCAAACCATTAGAGACTAAAAAATAATATAAAAAGCATTAGAAATGATACAGAGCTTCACTAGACAAGATGGTAGGGATTCACCAATGGTTGTTATATTGCATTTTGTTGTCTTCAAATTAGTTGTTCATATTACCAGATATAAGCATGCAAAATTGAACAAAAAAATTAAATGTTAACTGTTCCTTTCAATAAACCATTGAATACCAGCAGCACAGTTATTCCAGCTATCCTATATACATATATATATATATATATATATAAATATATATATTCCCTTCCTTCTTTCTTTCTTTTTCTCCTTTCCCTCATCCAAGTTTTTCCTTTTTTGAGCAATTTCTTTCACTTTCATATCTATTGCACATTTTGGGTTTTATTTACTCTTTCAAGTTCTTACACTAGGGAGACAATATGATGTTTACACATGTTGGTCTGATTCATTTCTTCATTTCACTTATGAGTATAGTCTCCAGTTGCATCCATTTATGTATAAAAGCCTCGAGTTTATCTTTTTCATAGCTGGGTAATACTCCACTGTATAAAAATACCACATCTTTTTTATGCATTCCTTGGTTGATGGGCATCTGGGTTGTTTCCAAGATTTAGCTATGACAAATTGTGTTGCTCTAAACATGGGTGTACATATATTGCTGTGGTATGACATTTTTAATTCTTGGAAATACCCAGAAGAGGAATAGCTGGGTTAAATGGGACCTCTAATCCTAGTTTTGTGAGGAATCTCCACACTGATTTCCACAGTGATTTCACCAATCTACACTCCCACCAGAAGTGGAGAAGGGTTCCTTTTTCCCCATAGCCTCTCCAGCATTTGTTATTGGTTGATTTCTTAATGATAGCCATTCTTTCTAGGGTGAGATGGAATCTCAATGTTCTTTTAATTTGCATTTCTCAAATGACTAATGATATTGAACATTTTTTCATGTATTTATTCGCCATTAGTATTTTTTCATCTGAGAAGTGTGTATTCATCTCAGATGCCCATTTTTGGATAGGGTCTTTGAATTTGGGGGACCTGATATTTTTAAAATTCTTTATATGTTCTAGATAGAAGTCCTTTGTCTGTTGAAGAGTTGGCTAAAATTTTTTCCCAATTCATGGGTTTTCTTTTTACTCTGTTGGTGATTTCTTTTGATGTGCAAAAACTTTTCAATGAGATCCCAGTTGTTGATTCTTTGAAGTATTTCTCATGCAGTGTGGTTTTTGTTCATGAACTCTCTGCCTACCCTGATGTCTTCAAGGTTTCTACCTACTTTCTCTTCCAGTAGTTTAGTGTTTCTGTTTTAATATTTAGATCTTTGATCCATTTTGACTTTAGTTTAGTGCATGGTGATAGACATGGATCTAGTTTTAGTCTTCCGCATGTGGAGAACCAGTTTTTCCAGCATCATTTATTAGAGAGAGGCTGTCTTTCTTGCAGTGAACATGTTTGGCCCCTTTGTCAAAGATAAGATGGCTGAGTATGTTTCTAGTTGTGTCTGCATCTTCTAATCTGTTCCACTCATCTTCAGATCTGTTTTTTGCCGGTACCATGCTGATTTTATCACAGCAGCTTTGTAGTATAATTTTAAATCAGGGATTGTGATGCCTCCTGCTTTTCCTTTGTTGCCCAGGATTGCTTTTGCTATTCGAGGTCTCTTCATCCTGGTTCCAGATGAATTTTAGGAATGTTTTCTCTAGGTCTGTGAGCTACACTAATGGTATTTTAATTGGGATTGCTTTGCATCTGTACAACAATTTTGGGAGTATACCATTTTCATGATGTTGGTTCTTCCTACCCATCAGCAAGGAAAATCTTTCCATTTTCTGAAATCCTTTTCAATCTCTTTTTTCAGAGTACTGTAATTTTCACTGTGTAGATCTTTTACTTCTTTTGTTAGGCTGATTCCTAAGTATTTCTTTTTTCTGGATGCTATTATGAAAGGTATGGTTTCCCTTATTTCTCTCTCAGTATGTTTGTTGTTTGTGTATAGGAATGCTATTGATTTTTGAGTGTTGACTTTGTATCCAGCTATGCCGCTGAATTTGTTGGTTAATTCTAAGATTCTTTTGGTGGAGTTTTGGGGGTCTTCTACGTAGAGTATCATGTCATCTGTGAATAAAGATAATTTCACTTCTTCCTTTCCTATCCTTATTCATTTTATTTCTCTGTCTTGCCTAGTTGCTCTGGCTAATATTGCCAAAACTACACTGAATAGGGGTAGTGACAAGTAGGAACTTGTCTTGTTCCTGATTTTAGAGTGAAAGCTTTTAGGTTTTGTCTATTTAGTATGATATTGTCTATTTAGTATGATATGTTGGTTTGTCTATTTTGTCTATTTAGTATGATATGTTGGTTTGTCATAGATGGCTTTTATCAGAGTGAGGTAAAGACCCACTTATTCCTATTTTCTGTAGGGATTTTTATCATGAATGAGTGTTAGACTTTATCAAAAGCTTCTGCATGTATTGAATGATCATGTGATTTTTGTCTTTGGCACTATTGATATAGTGAATTATATTGATTGAGTTGCATATATAGAACCATCCTTGCATTCTTGGGATGAATCCCACTTGGTCATGGTATATAGTCTTCTTGATAATTTGCTGCATTCTGTTTGCTAGGATTTTATTGAGAATTTTTGCATCTATATTTATTAAGGAGATTGGCCTGTAGTTTTCTTTTTTGGTTGGGTCTTTCTGTGGTTCTGGTATTAGGGTAATACTTGCCTCCAGGAATGAGTTAGGGAGAATTCCTTCCCTTTCAATTTCATTAAGAGTTTGAGAATAATTGGTGTTAAATCTTCTATAAATTTCTTGTAGAATTCAGCTGAGAATCTATCAAGACCTGAACTTTTCTTCACTGGTAAGTTTTTTATTACATTTTCAATTTTGCTTGCTGATATTGAGTTATTCAGGATTTGTATATCTTCTTCATTCAGCTTTGGTAATTCATATGTATCTAGGAATCTGTCCATTTCTTCTGTGTTTTCCATCTTATGAGAGTAAAGATTTTTAAAGTAGGTATTGATGATTTTCTGAATTTCTACAAGATCTGTAGTGATTTCATTCCTTTCATTCCTTACTGCATGAATTTCAGTTTTTTCTTTCCTTTTTTTGATGAGGTTGAGTAGGGATTTTTCAATTTTATTTATTCTCTCAAAGAACCAACTCTTCAATTCATCAATTCTTTGTGTTGTTTTCTTGGTCTCAATTGCATTAATTTTTGCTCTGATCTTTATAATTTTGTGTCTTCTTTGGGCTTTGGGCTTGACTTGCTCTTCCTTTTCTAGAAGCTTGAGATGCAGTATAAGATTGTTTATTTGTGATCATTCTGTTTTCCTGATGTGGGAATTCACCACTATAAATTTCCCTCTGCGGACTGCTTTCATTGTGTCCCACAGGTTCCTGTAAGTTGTATCTGCATTTTCATTTGACTGTAAATATTGTTTAATTTCTTCTTTAATTTCATGAGTGACCCATTGGTTGTTCAGAAGGGTGTTGTTTAATTTCCATGTGTTTATAGAGTTTTTGCAATTTCATTTCCGATAGTATGCATGGGATAATTTCAATTCCTTTGCATTTACTTAAGCATGTTCTATGTGCTAGTATATGGTCTGTTTAAAAAAAAAAGTCCTGTATGCAGCTGAGAAGAATGTGTATTCTGACGTTGTTGGATGGAAGACTCTGTAAAGGTCTTCTAAGTCCATATGTTCACGAGTTTGGTTTAGTTCTGTTCTCTAGGTTAGCACATGTTGTCATAAACAGCAGGATTTGCTTCTTTTTAAGGCTGAATAACATTCTGGTGTGTGTGTGCATACATGTGAGTGAAAGAGAATATCACATTTTCTTTCTCCATTTTTCCACCGACAGATGTGAGGCTTGCTTGCAGCCACGCACCAGCACACACAGTGCTGCCGTGAACCTCTGTACCCAGACCACATGAGCTCTTCAGCAGGGTGGGAGCGAGCACTTGACTGGCCAGCCGGACTGCTGCTGTCCTTGGTGGTCTCTCGGCTGGGGATGTGGAGAAGTCCCCACCTGTGACCAAAGTGAGCGAAATGCTTGTGAGGAAGCCTGCTGCTTCCCAGCCGGGTGTGTGTTTCCAAGTCCTTGGCACAGGTCCTGTCGTCTGTGGTGCTCGTCACTCACACAGGATCACGACATCTCTACTGTTAGCCTTAAAGGGCTTCTGCCGTGTCACCTCCCCTTTAGAGCAGCAAACACCTTCAGGAAGAGCCTCCTCAAGCTGGCGTGGTGGCTCATGCCTGTAATCCCAGCACTCAGGAGACTGAGACAGGAGGATCACTGTGAGTTCATGGCCAACCTGGGCTACATAGTGAGGTCAAAGCCAGGCTGAACAACACAGTAAGACCTGATGGAGACCACTGTGCAGCAGCTCTGAGCAGGACTTAATATTAACCAATTGGCTTTCCATGTTTACTTGTGAGTCACTGGTCCCTACGGAGGCCTGTAATGGTGGCTGAAGCCATGAGGCCTCAAAGAACAAGACAAGGCCACAGCTGAGGACTTTTGGCTCCAACTCCAATTAACTAAAATGAGGTTGTAGCTGCAGGCATCTCACTCCTGCAGTGAAGTCCTCCCTGGAGTTAACTTAGTTCTCCTAAATTAACAGAAGTATTATGTGGAGCAGTCTTCAAAGAGATTCCCAAGTCCTGCCCAGATTCCTGCATTTTCTTCAGTATTTCCCTTCTTTGTTTGAAAACCTAAAAATAGGGGCTGCCCAAGGAAGTCAGAATCTTAACCCCCAGTCTTAACCTGAAGAATCTTGAATATTGGCAGAGTTGGACCCTCCTGGAGCCCTGAAATAATCTCATTTGTCTCATTTATTTAAGCCTTCACAGGCCACTCGTTCAGGAGACTGTGGACCCGATCAGCCTGCAATCCCCTCGCTTTCCTTAGCCTTCGCCACCCACTCGTTCAGGAGACTGTGGGCCTGATCAGCCCACAATAACTAAGGTTACTAACCTGATAAAGACCCTGTCTCAGAAAAAAAAAAAAGCCTTCTCTACAAAACTACAGATTCCCAAGAGTCAGTATTAAAAATATAGAGACCCTTGCCTACAAGAAATCAGCCCAGCACCTCCTCCAGCTCTCTGCACTGCCTGAATTAGCCTGTGTTCTGTTGCTGCTGTACCAGAACCCTCAGGCTGGCCAACTGCATAAGGAAATGGGCTCATTTAGTCCACAGTTCTAGAGGTCCAGGTCCCACAGCTGGCCACATCTGGAGGTGAGGAAGGCACAAGACAGGCAGATGTGCATTTTCTGGTCTCCCTCCCTTTTCTCATAGAGACACCAGGATTCAATAACGGGGCTCCACCCTGATGATGGGATACCTCCTGAAACCTCTGAAGGTGGATTAATACCTCGTGGTGGGGATAACTTCCAACACATGGACCCCCGGGGCACACACTCAGTTCTGTCCAAACCTTTGAAGCAGTCTGTACAGTTGGATGCCAGAAAGGAACTGCCAGTCTCTACCGCAGACTAGACTCTGTGATACAGAGGTGGATAGAGAGGCCCCCGTGGGCTGACTATGGGAGATTCTGTGATACAGAAGTGGGTGGAGAGTTTCATGGGTGTAGCTACTGGGAAACTTGGGCTTGAGACGTAGGTTTGTTACCCAGGCCCGAGATGCTGTGCTTTCCAAGTTCTTGTTCTGAACAAAGAATTGGTGAAGACATATATGAAGGTAGTGAGGCTTTACATTTATTAAAGGTATTAAAGTAGGAAAAGGAGAACATTCTGCAGGGTGAGATTGGGCTACTGAATGAGTCTGCAGTGGTCACGAGGTTAATGGCCACCATCTTTGTATCCCCCACTGTGATGGCAGATCTGGGCCACCCTACCAAAACTGTTCTTGATTTCACACCTGAAGAACTGAAGATAATGTTCTCTGATTGGTGCCAGGTGCAGGGCTTGGGTGTGTGGGTCTTGGATCTCCATGATGGATACATCATGCCCATTTCCCCAGCCAGCTGGCCATGCCCTAATCTCCTGCCTCAGGCTGAGACTGCAGAGTGAGGGCACCAGTGCCAAAGCTGCCAGAGAAAGCAGATTCATAAAACAGCTGCTGGGCAGAACAAACTGGACCTCTTCGGACTGAGGGACGGCAAGGTAGAAGGGAGGGAGGGAGTGTGAAAAGAATTAAGGTGATTATGCACACACGCCCACTGCCCACAATGCATACAATCATTATGCACCACAAACACGTACAAACAAAAAGAAAAAGGAAAAAGCAGATAAAACTGAAAACTAAAAAGAAAACAAAAAAATTTTTGAAAGCAGCAGGAAAGATTGAAATTACTTGTAATATACTTTGGGTTGTTGGACCCTAAATGCTTATTTGAGTTAAATGCAGAAAAGAGAGCAGGCCAGGACTGGTTTTCCCCAGTATGGCGCACAGCCGCCCCTAGAGCAGGAGCCTCACTGTCTCGGTTCTGTTTGGCACAGTTTGCATGTCCACGGTGTCATTTGTCACAGTTCTGTTACGCCCCTAGACCCTGCCCTTTCTGGAGCACGGCCGGCCTGTTTACCCGTCCCCGGCTGGGCAGTGTACTCACTAGGGTCATCTGGGGGCCACTTTGTACCTGTGCAGGACAGCGAGGAGCAGAGGAAGGGGCCCCCACCTGAGCCTGTGCAGGTCCCCACCTGTGTGTCCTGCTCTGTCTTCTAGACACCTAGCTGCAAGGCAGGCTGGGAAACGTGGTTCAGCTGTGCCACCAAGTGACCAGCAGAACCGGGGTCACTGTGGAGAAAAGGGGGCAAGTCTCAGATAATGATGCTTGTCCAGAGTCCCTTTCACAGCCAGCCTCTCCACCGTACCCCACTTCCCCCTAGTTCCCCATTCTCAAATTCCCACTAAGCCCTCCCAGCATGCCTTGCTCTCTCTAGGTAGCTTTCTTCATCCCACCAACCATGGTTTCATTCCTTAGCGTCTCTCGCCTGTGCCCTACCCTGCAGTGAAGGCTTCATGTGATTTGCTGTATCCCCAGCTTTTGCTGACCCTCTGCTGCCTGAGACCCTGGGCTAAGAGCAGGGACATGCACAGCCCAGCTGGGCAGAAACCACTGAGTCATGCACAAACGCCGTGTCCCATGTGCCTTCCTTCTCTTGCTGGAGGAAGATGACGCACTGGTGTACAGCGTTTGTCCCACAGCTATGGTTACAACATCTCAGCCCTGCGAATGATTTCGGGTAGTCAGACACTGAGGTCTGAAGCCAGTTTGGTTTCTGAATTGAAAACGTGTCCCCGCCCTTGGCACGCTGGCCACAGGTATTAGTGACTGTTTTTCAAATTAGAAGGTGCTGAGCAGACCTCATTAGCCCCAAGTCCTGTATGCTGTGGTCCCAGGGAAGCGCTTTCTACCGTCCTCTTATTCTCCGGTGGTTGAAGAAGCCCTCCACTCTGACTTCCTAAGTCTCCCATGACCGCCCATTCTCTACTGGGGCAGAGTTTCTGTTGAGCATAGGGAATGTCCATCCCAACAATCCGCTGCAGACTGCAGAGGTTGTGAATGTAACCATAACCACCCAAGAGGAGGCTGGACAGGACACCTGCCTGTGGACCAGTGTGGTTATGCAGCTGGGCCCCATCTTCAAAGACCCCTGGGTTGAAATCAGCCTGGGCCTTGGAACCAGCAGCACCGGGTGGGTGGCTGAGCCACAGCTTACCTGACTCCCCTTTCCAGGGGACAGGAGGGTCACTAACCGTCCTGAGCCTCGGTTTCCTCCCTGTAGACATTTAACCATGATGTCTACTTTACTTTGTGGGTTGAATAGGGTTAGGTGTGTGCACAAACAGGATGGCGCTGAGCTCATCACCCACTGCCCTGGCCTGTGGCTGGTGACAGGGGAGTTTTCTTCCACAGCATCAGGGGCAGGTCAGTGCCCCTACCATGCAGCTGACTTGCCTCCCCCCAAGCAAGGTGGCCCTGGGTCTCCAGGACTCCAGGAGCGAGCGGCTGGCAGCCTGGTGGTCTCTGGCACGAGAATGCAGTGGTCCATGCATGTGGTTTGATGTTCTTTGTGGAAGTGGCCTTTGGCAGCAGGGAGACCCCTCAGCTCCCTCTGCCCCTGCTCACTCTGCAGCCACCTCGAGGGTCTGCAGCCTGGACCCAGAAGCTCTTCCCATCTACACCCGCCTCCCTCAGAGGCTAACTTACCTCCCAAAGTGGCTGAAAATCCAGAAGGAATGTGGAGAAGCATTGATAGGTTGATCGTGCACAAACTTTTGAAAAGGAAAAATCTTTGCATGACAAGAAACATATCAGGCAAAGGAAAAAGAGAAATGCTTTTTGGAGCAGTGGGGGAAATATGACAACCCACTTGCAGACAAAGCCTTAGTAGCCTACTACAGAAAGAGCTTGTAGGTGAAAAGGGATAAAATAAATAAATAAATAAATCCTATAGGAGAAATGAAACAGAAATGAGAAATGCAAATCAAAGCCATCCAGAACCACCCAGATCCATGGACCAGACTGGCCAAACCACAGATGAAGACGGAGGACCCCGAACTCGCAGGGGCCGAAGCACTACACATCCAGTGGGAGCCTGACTGTGCGCCTGGATCTGGTCTTTCCCCGAGGGTGACAGGGAGGTAACCGCACGGCTCCCAGTCAGCTCTCGAATGCGCAAGGAAGCAGGGACACCGGTGCCGCCACGCTGCGGTGTTGGGTCTGCAGGGGTATCAGTGCGTTCTGACTTAGGATGGGTTTCTCCAGGGAGAAATCTACCACCAGCCCAGGGGCATCGGTGCTGCTCTGCGGAGGAGCTGTGGAGAGACCGACCCTCACGTGCCACTCAGGAGCACAGGGAGCTTTGGCAGCAGTGAACACTGCACCCTGTGCCCTTGCCTTTTGCTGCTGTGAGGCTGCTTTCTGGGAGCCTTTTCCAAAACACGCTGCAAAACCCCAAATAGCGCAAGAGGACAGCTCGCTGCAGCAGTGCTCACAGAACTCCGAAACGGCTGGTGCCGGAGGCCCCCAGACTACCGCACGGTGGGTGTGGGCAAAGAAGCCCTATGGGTGCTGCAGCCAGGACCCCAGGGTGCACCTGTGAACCTGAGACAGGTGGGTAGAGGCCAGGGCACTGTGCGGTCGCTTCTCCAAGGAAGGGGACAGCAATGACTTGGGTACATTGAGCACAAGTACCGGGTTAATGACCCTTAGTCATTGCAGGCTGATCAGGCCTGAGATCTCCCAAAGGAGTGGATGGCAAAAGCTTAAGTAAATGAGACAAGTGAAATGACTTTAGGGCTCCAGGAAGGTCCAACTCTCTTACAGCTTTCTAGGAACTCTGGGTTGAGATAAGGACTTCTCTGGGCAGCTCGTACTTATTAGGTTTTCAAACAAAGGGGGAGGATGCTGAAGAAAACTCGGGAATCTCTCAGGACCTTGGAAAACATTTTCCCAAGTAGTAAATTAGGTCAATCAGCAGAACTACCTTACCTTTAGGGTGGCATTTACTGTAGGAGTGTGGAGCTTGCAGCTGCAGTCTCCTTGTAGTTAGTTGGGGTTGGAGCCAAACATCCTCAGCTGTGGCCTTACCTTGTTCTTTGAGGCATCACAGCTTCACAGGCCAATACAGGCCTCAGCCAGGACCAGCGACTCACAGAGGTTCACTTACTATGAGTCTGCTGCCCATCTCCAGACAAGGGCGTGGGCCTGGGACAGACTCACAAGCAAACATGGAAAGCCCATTGTTAATATTAAATCCTGCTGAGAGCCGCCTTGTAAGGCTCTCCGTCACACAAATGAACAAAACCGCTGCTTTTAAGAGAAGCGTGGGAGAGGTAGGAAAATGAGTAGAAGCCAGATCTCTCCATCCACCTATCAACAATCCAAAGGGATACACACTCTATAATCCTGGTTTTGTATTTCTTTTCTAAAAAAAGAAAAGAAGAAAAGAACTTTCTGCATCCTTTCAAACCCTCCCTTTAATGGAGAGCACGGAGTCTCCCGGTATCCAGGGTTCTCAAGGGTTCCAGGACGCCCTAGAATCTGGAAATCACTTCAGTGAAGGAAAGCAGTGTTCAGGTAGAATCGATGCGCCCTTCTGCAGACCCTCACTGTCTCTAGATGCCTTGCACTCCCTGACCGAACCCCCTCCTCAGCACTAGTGGGGGTGCCGTACTATTTAGGGAATAAAGAAAAAGTCCACGTGTGTCGTTCTGAAGCAATTTTACCCTGGGCTATTTTCTATTCACAGTTGGCTGAGCCGTGGAGACGGAGCCAGCAGACACGGAGCGCTGTGGAGCTCAGCACAGACGTCCTGGGACATACCCAGCAAGCTAACTTCCTTTCAGAGATGCCTCGGGGTGATGGATGACATCCCACAGGGAGCCAGGAATCCCGGTTCTGGTCCAGCTTCTGGCTTCCGTGAGGTTGAACTGCAAGATAATAGCAGGCTTTGTTCCCAGGCTGTCTGAACAGCAATGCATGAGGTCCAGGTTCAGAGCTATGACTCCTGTGGCCCTGGGCACAGTTGTGACGGTCACTTCTCCTGAGAAACCCACCGGAGTCCTGCCAGGCTCGGCTCATGGCAGGGCTCAAAGGAAATGCAGGGCACTGGGTTTGAGGCAAGATATTGTCAGAACAAGGAGGGGCTGAGCCTGCCAGTGCAGGGAGAAGGCACACACGTGAATCTTTTTACATCTCCTCACAGAGTGTCTCAGCTACTTTTCTCTGGTTGCTGAGATAAAATACCTGACACCCAGATTAAAGAGAGAAATGTTTATTTAGCTCACAGCTTGTGGGGGTTTCAGTCCATACTCAGCCGACTCCAAATCAGGGTGACCTGGCAGAGGACAATAGTTCAAGGCAACAGAAGACAGCAAAAACAGCAAGAGCAAAGCTAGGGGAGAGCAAGCTCTTTCCCGCCTTTATACTGCAAGCAGGCTACCTGCCCTAGGGCGGGTGTAGCACTCACCATCTCAGGAGGCGCAGGATGCACAGGCTCGGGATGTTTACAAAGTGAGGACCCTGGCCCCCGTTGAGTCCCTTAGTTAAACCTCTACCTTTCTCAAGGTGACACAATGTATCAACCATCACACTGAGGGGTGCTAAAAACAAGATTTGAGTCCATTGCAAGCTGCACCTGGATTAGAGGCCTGAGACACCAGTTTTGCAGACAGGTCTGTTTTGCAGGGCTAACTTGTAAGCAGAGGACATTTGCGTGGAATGAGGCTGTCCTTTCTTGGTTCTGTTCTCAACGGTGCATCAATTTTCCCCTTAAAGGAGCTGTACACACTCCCTTTGAGAAGCACTGGGCAGAAGCCTTGGAGTCCAGGCGGGTCTGGAGTCCCACACAAGTCTCTCAAGGCCTGCACGCCACGCCAAACTGGGGAATAGCCTCTCAGGAACCCACCAGGCTCTCTGGCCAGGGACTGCCTTCCCCCCAGGCAGATCTGCTGCTCAGGGACCCAGGGTCCTGAAATGCAAACAGAGAGAACAAAGCTGTCTTCACTCCCACGTGTGACCGTGTTGCTTGTGCTGCACTCAGTGAACCAGGAGCCACTGGCGAGGTGCTCCTAGGAAACACTTCTCTGGTGCTCTTGGCTGTCTGTGGGCCTGAACTACAGCTGCCTGGAAATTAAAGTGGTAAATGGAGCCTCAAGCCGCAGGGGGCGGGGCCGAGGGCCTGCGAGCCACCTGGCACAGCTCCCAAGCGCTCCCAGCACCTGATGCTGCTGCTAACACAAAGACAGTGATAAAACAAGAATGGGATGGAGATGGATGTGCTGCGGAGGCAAGGAGAACTCCCCGAGCAGATGTGTGCGGAAACTAATGGTGTGGTGATAACAAAGTCTGACGCACGGTACGGTAACCGGGGTGGGAAACGGCCCCCTGACGACTGTTTGTTCTGCACAGGAAGGAGCGTCCTGTGGGCAGAAGGAAATGCAGGCGGTAACACTTCTGGGCCAGGTGCGGGGCATGTTAGGCTGCTGCTCTGGTGGGCTCCAGCATGCAGCAGAGTTTATGCTGCTCAAAGCTTTGCTGGTTTTAGTGTTGTTGTTTTTTTAAAAAGTCCCTGCATTTTTTTTCCCCTTCTCTTCCTCCACAACTTCTTGTCCCTGCCCTTATGAGCTCCTTCTCCAGGAGCAGAATCAGGATCGCCTAAGTGGAGCAAAAAGATCCACCTTCAGCCGGGAGGCCACGTCCCTCTGTATCCCAGAGCTGTGCCCCGACCCTGTCTGTGGCAGGGTGAGAGGAGGCACCTGATGCCCAGGGGCCTGACAGGCTGGTGGTTAGCTTCACAAGAGCCTTGTTTATATTCATGGAAAAGAAAACAAAATGAGAGAGGAACCACTTTGATGACTGCAGCAAAATTCTAAATACAAAAGTGACCAAGAAAGAAAGGAAAGATTCTGTAGAGAGATTTCACAGTGGTGGGCACAGCGCAGCGAAGCGCCAGAGCTGCTGGGTTTGGCAGCTGCAGACGTGGGCTGGAGCCCTAGCTGGCTGCTTTGTAGCTGGCGAGCTTTGCAAGCCGGGCTGACCTTGGAGCGCTGCTGGTCTCATCTCACACCTGTCGTGCTCCAGACCCCGGGCAGGCATTTGGACGTAGCCTTATGCCGAGGGAAGAGATGACACTCCAAAGCCAGGGCCCCGGCAGTCGAGGTGCTCACTGCTACCAGGCCTCCCTGTCCCACTCCCAGGGACAGAGTGCAGGGAGGTTTGTTAGGGATGTTGTGTTTTGAAAGCTGTGGCTTTGCAGGGCGAGGAGGGACTCACAGCTGCAGGCTGGCGGACGAGAGAGCAAGGGTCTTCCCTGGCCTGCAGGGAAAGAGGAGAGGAGGCCAGCGCTCCTGCTGCTGCATTAACAAACCCCCATCGCTCAAAGCTCAAAGCCACAGATTCATTAGGTGACAGCTGTGTGGCCTAGACGCGTGAGTGGGTCCCCTGGTCTGCAGGGTCACGGCCCCAGTGCTTCCTGGGAACACCTGTCCCAAGTGTGCCCAGCTCCCGGGAGCCCCTGGGCTCCTCGCCTGTGACCACTCCCTCCACCTGCAGCCCCTGGGAGCCAGGCTGGGGCCCTCACACTGCCCTCTCCCCACCTCTCCCAGCTGTGCTGAGAAAGACCCCATGATGCCGGGGCCCGAGTAAGCCAATCGCTACGGTAACTCCTTCTGAAGCCACATGTTCAAGGGTTCTGGGACCTGGAGGAGCCGCCCCTCTGCCCACCACGCCTTCCCACCATCACTTGCTGCTGCTTCTGGAAACACACTCCCGGGCGGGGTATTCCTGACGAGGAGAGGGGGAGAGGCACAGAGCAAGGGGAGCAGAGAGGGAGAGACAGAGACAGAGGGAGAGACAGAGGCAGAGAGAGACAGAGTGAGACAGAGACAGAGAGAGTGAGACAGAGGCAGAGAGATAGAGAAAGACAGAGACAAAAAGGTAAAGAGACAGGGGCTGGGGATTTAGCTCAGTAGCACAGTGCCTGCCTGGCAAGTGTGACATTGTGAGTTTGATTCCTGGTACCAGAAAAAACCAAACCAAAAAAAAACAAAAACAAAAACAAAAACAAAACATAAAGAGACAGAAGACACAGAAAGAGACAGAGGAGAGAGAGACAGAGAGAAAAACATAGAGACAGACACAAAGAGAGACACAGAGACAGTGAGATAGACAGACACACGTATACACACACACACACACACACACACACACACACACACGCACGCACGCAGAGGTGAACCTTGAGGAAGGGAAGCCCCATGTCCTCGTGGCTCCCGGATCCTCTATGCCTGGTATCGTGGGCATTGAGCAGAAGCAGGCACCAATCCTTTGGGGAGCTCCGCACTCACTCCCCCCACAGCGAGACACCCTGCCCAGCTCAAGCCACTCGCCTGGGTGGTGAGGGCGGAGTCTGAGCACCCCGACACTGCACTAAGCCAGCCCAAAGCTGGAGAGCAGGTGGGGAGAGAGAAATCATCAGGACTTTAAATGAACACAATTCGAAAACTGCTGGAGTGAAAACTTCTGTGCCCTGCAAGGTGAATGTGGGTCCAAAGTGCACGGGGATGCCCACACCGGGGCGTCCTGGACCCATGGGCCAGTGGCCTGGGCTCCATCTCTCCCTCCCCGCTTTTCTTTTATTTCTTAATCACCTATGGCTACCAGCAAGCTCTAATCCATTTTAAATCCAGCTTTTAACTTGGCACTAAACCCCTATTCATAGCTTTTTATTTTCCGAAGTTGGAAACCTGGAGCCCAGGGCCCCCTGGCACCAGGGAACGGGCCTTCTGTTTGTCCCTGTGAAGGTCTGCTGGGCAGCCCGCGTGTGAGGCTGAACAGCACCATGCTCAGAAAGAGACAAAACACAGTCATCCTGGGAGGCTACAAGTTCCTCCAGTTGACGCCTTTGGGATGCCAACCCTGGGCCCTGCCTCACAGCGTAGGGACAGTTCCCAGTTCTGACAAATATTTACCCTTGATAATGTTTATTTTTCGTGCTAACCACATATTCCTGTCAGCCCTGGTAAGGAAGGTAGGAGAAGCCGGCCAACAGTGTCATAGTGGATGAAACAAACCAGGGTGTTGGCCATATTTCTGTCACCATGGCAACCTGAGATCAACAACATAGGAGAAAGGTTTCTCCTGGCTCACAGTTTAGGAAGGGTCAGTCCCGGTCACTTGGCCCTGTTGCCCTTGGGTCTGTGGTGAGGCAGCTCATTGAGGTAGGCACTTCCAGGGAGGAACAAACTGCTCACCTCGTGGGGGATGGGAAGTGAAAGATGGAGAGGAAGCATGGGGTCCCCGAGTCCCCTCAGAGGGACACAGCCAGTGACCCAACTTCCAGCCCTGAAAGGCTCCACCCCCCAACAGCTCTTGGGCTGGGAGCCACACGGGCCTTTGGCGGACATTTGAAGTCCAAGCTACGGCAGTGAAGTGAGACCTGGTGATTTTCAGAGGCCCAGGGGGGTCGCACACATTTATAGACAATGCTGTAACTTCAGGCTTGAGAAAATGGAAACAGCATCGCTTTGAACTGTAAGTCACATGGAGGCAGCGTGCAAGCAAGTCAGGCTTGTGATCAGAGGAGCAGAGCTTTTGCATTTGTGAGGCACTGTTCTGGATAGTAAGGGGTGTGCAGTGACTTAGGGTCACAGAAGCCCTGAGGTCCCGAAGCCTGGGGTGTGGACCGTGAGGCGCTGTCCCAGCGGCACAGCTGAGGTCCCCTGCAGGTGGTGAGCGGGGCTGCCCCACAGGAAGTCCAGGAGGCTCCTTAGCCAACCCGAGAGCTCTGGGCGTGAGGTCACCTGGAGAGGGGTCTGGGAACCACCTTGGCTGGGAGGTCACACAGTGTGTCCTCTGGAGGTGACTCATCACCCCGCCAGCAAACGCAGCTCCTCGTGGCTGACGCTTGTCCCACCAGCCCACTCTTCTGGCAGAGACCTTTTTCGCCTGCAAGGCGTCAGAGCCAGTTCTCCTTATGCTGTGGCTCAGGTACGGTGGGCTCTGTGGAGATCTCGGAGGGGCCAGTGGCACAAACTGGCATCTGCGCCAGAGGTGACCGCGTGGGCTCAGTGGGCCAGCCCTGCGGGACTGGGCAGACCTCGTAGAGCAGACGCCGTGGGCTGCATCCGGAGACCGGAGACCCCCTGAGTCATAAATGCATCCCCCACACTCGCCGTGGCGCGTCCCAACCCAGGCCCTGAGGGTGCTGCAGGGGGCCGTGGGTCCCTGGTCATCCCAGGGCTGAGGCTCGAGGCCATCCCCGTATCCTGAGCCCGCATGTCACAG